ATTTACTAGTAAACTATTATTAAATAGGTATAATCTATATAGTAGTAAACTCCTAAGCTTAATATTATTACTAAACTAAGCTTATAGGTAGATCTTTTTAACTAATAATATATTTACTTTAAGGAATTATATTAAGCTCTTTAGTATACTTTTATATTACTTAAAGCTATATAAAATATATACTAAATAGATATATAAAGCTATACTATAGGTCTCTTTTTTTATTCTCTAGTAAATATTATTTTAGTCTCTTATAATAGTAATATAGACTTTTTATTAGTTAATTAGTATAAGATAAAGTAATTAGTTAGGTTAGTAATACCTCTATAAGTAAACTAACTACTATAGAACTATTAGGTTTATATTATTATCCTTATTTAGTACCTCTTTTAATATATTAATTATAAATAAACTATAGATATATACTATTTACTAACAGATTATTAATAAACAGGCTATATAGAAGCAAACTCTTAAGCTTAATATTATTAATAAGCTAAGCTATTTAGGGAATTATTCCTACTATTAACTACTAAATCCTATTAGCTAGAAGCTAAGTAGTAAAGATAATTACTATATAATATAAATCTATTATATTTAACGCTTTTTTATATATTATTAACTAATAGCCCCCTATAATATATAAATATATAGACTATATATAGTTATTTACTATCTTTAATTATAATTATTAGCTTTTCCTCTAGCTTTTATAATTATAGGTTTCTCTTCTAGCTATAGTAATACTATTAAGTTAAGTATACTTAAAGGGATACTAGCTATAACCTCTATAATAAATATTATTAATAGGTATATAAGTATTAGTATATTTTATTACTATATAATTATTACGCTTAAATATAGTTTAAATAGAGAGATATATATATAGTTAAGCTAGTAGAAGTATAACTTTAATAATATATAGCTATATTATATTCTTCTATCTATATAAAACTATTACTATATTTAGCTTATTATTTAGTAAATACCTTAGAGATAAAACTATTATTAAGCCTATAAGTTTATAACTTTATAATATTTTATACTTAAGCTTCACCCCCCTTATTACTAAAGGAATCCTCTTTTAATATATTAATCCTATAATATTAAAAGTAGCTTATAATTTACTCTAAATATAAACTAATAGTAATAACTACTTTATAGAGAAACTACTTAAAGAATATATCTATTATATTTACTTACTTATAATATATAAAATAACGCTATAGATATACCTTTAAGTTACTAAAAAACGCCTTTATAGGGTTATAATCTAATAAGTATAAGGGTAAATATAGTAGATAAATATTAATAATATTATATACTATCTAAAACTTTAATATATAATACTAACTTATATTATCTATAACTAAGACTAAATTTCACCTTAAGAATAAGTTTATAAGTAGTAATACTAAATACTTAATCTAATATAAGAAGCCTTCTTAGTTTATATAGCTAAGATATATAATATAATAAAAAATACTATTAAGAGTAAGTATTAATAGTATATAATATTATTCTCCCTATTTTAATATACTTCTCTTTAAAAGTTAAAGACTTCTTAGTAACTATACTATTCTTCTAGCTTTATTATAGTAATTAATACTACTTTTATTAATAAAAATAAACTAATTAGCTCTAATATTATAGATATCCTATTAATACTTTAAGTATTTTTTATTATCTCTCTATAGAGCGATATATCTAATCTTCTTCTTCTACTATTATATTACTTTTAGGTATTATAAAATTATAGAGATTAATACTTTTAGATTAAACTTATTAATAAGAAATATCTATAGTTTATTAAGATAGATATCTAACTTATTATATAATAGTTTAAGTATTACTTCTTTATATAATAGTATTAACTTATAGTTATTAGAACTTTTTAGTTAATATAGTTTTAGTATATCCCCTATAGTAATAAATAAAATATAATAATATTAAATAGTATATTCTATATATTAAACTATATTTACTATAGCTATAATACTAAAGAATTTAACTAATAGAAGCTCTTTAAGTAGAGCTCTTTATTTTATACTAAGAGGTAATAATATTATTTAGTATATATAAATTATTTATTTAATTAGTTTATATCTTTTTATTTTAATACTAATATATTAGTATATAATAAGATTAATAAGGAAGGATAAGAGCTATAATATATTAGCTAGATTTAAGCTATTTATATTATATTATTAGTATATATTATAGTTATAGCTATAGCTTTTTATTATATCTATATATTATATACTATAAGAAGTATAAATATAAAAATATTACTTTATCTATTTAAGACTACTTTAACTAGTAATTAGACCTATATTTAATTTTAATAGGAATAGTTTAACTTTATAACTTATAAGCTTAGATATAACTAGAAATATAGCGTTAATAAGATCTATTATAAAAGATATATAACTATATTAATAATAGTATTAATTTAAGTTTATAATACTATATAATTATTATATATTATCTATAATTAATTAATAATAGTAGAAACGACGAAAAACGACGAAAAGATGATGCTAATTAACGTTTAGGGTAGTGGTATAGCTGAAACCTAAAAATCCCGTATTTGCAGGGGTTTCGGCAAGGGCAAACGCAAATGAGTGATGCTATGGCGGACAGCCGTTCCTGCGCTCCCCGTTTCTTTCCATTCCCTCGGCCTCAGCCAAGCCCAGCAGGTGCGTCGATATGTTTTTCTTTGCCCATGTTTCTTCCCCCCCACAAATGCCGTGCCATGTTTGAGTTTGGCCGTGCTTGCTGCTGCGTTTGGTGGTCCCTTCCCAAAGTCCCCGGGGTCCCTTCTTTCCCTAATTCTTTTTTTTTTTTTTTTTTTCTTTCCTCCTTCCGACGCAGCAGATGCTCAATGAGCTGTTCGTACCTTAGGCACGCACATTGCATTATTACTAACCTAAGGCAGTTCACACGTCTTGATTCTTGATTCCTGAGGGTTGACGTGGTAAGTGGCCCGGCCAGTCTTTCCTCTTGGGCCATGTCACTTCCTCCACCAGGGAAGGCAGCGGTGACTTGGCCGTTGAGTGTGACTCTTCCTCATGAGCGAGTGTCGCTTGCCCACGAGTGTCGGCCTCGCCCACGCATCCACATTCCCCAACAGGCATCGTCTCCTGGAGCTCCTACTGGCCTGCTGCGTCTGGCTCGCGCTGAGAGAAGGTTGAACCTTTTCACTCGGGCAGCACCCTCCCACCCTGCAAATCCAGCCATTCGGATCCCGTTGACCCCCCCGTCCCATCTCATCCTGCACGACCTTAGCAGCAGAGGCTACCTATGCAGCAGGGAGGGTACGTGTATGATGACATTCGGATTCGCAGCTGAGGCACATTATCCGCACTGCGCTCCAGCAGCAGGTAAGTACCCAAGTATTCTACCTCCCTCCGTTTGTTGCCCACCGCCGCCGACTCAGCACCGTACCGCAGCCATGTCCAGTCGCAGGTCGCAGTACCTATTCGTGGACGGCGTGGTCGCAGCAAGGCACAGAAACGTGAGAACCATCTTTTGGGCAGGGGACAGGGGGCCACCACAACCAGGTGCCAGGTCAGGGCCCTGTGAGGCAGTTGGTCCTTTTTTGCCACCCTCCCCCCACCCTAGGGTGTGAGTGGCTTGTTATTGGTTTGAATTTCTCTTATATTAGTCTTAGTATACTACTTTATCCCTTAACTCTTTATCCTACCTTTTTTATACAATTTAAGCGATCGATAAAGCTTTTAGTAGAGTAGTTCTATAAGTAGTATATTTATTACTTTAGAGAATTATAATAAGATCCTACTCTATTTAATTTATTACCCCCTATTAATACTTCCTATAAGCTTAGTTTAGAGCTTAAGTTTATAAGTTTATTAGCTATAGTTTAGCTTACTTCTAAAAGTAAGTACTAAAAATAAATATAGTAATAATATCCTTAGTATTAAGTTTAATAGTACTTATAAAGAACTTTTATACTTTTCTTAACTAGAGCTTTTATATACTTTAAGTAACTATTTAAGAGTTAATATATATAGTACTTTCTAAGTTAAAGTTATTATTAAAGTTATTAAGTTATTAATCTACTATTATATTATTTAATAGATATAGAGTATTAGTTACTTATTTTATTACTACTTTTTTTATATAAAGTAAGGTTTTTATAACTTTAGTAGCTAAGGCTATTATAAAGAAAAGTTATTATACTTTATTTATTTTATCTTTATTTCTTTTAAAACCTCTATATCTTCTAATACTAAGTATAGTACTTCTATGTTCACACCTTAGGTTATATCTATTAGGGTTACTTAGTCCTTTTCTATATCTGTACCTTGCTGTATATTGTACCTCGGTCCTTCTTTGCCGTCGCACTGCTGCGACACTTCAGGCCCGTCGTTACCGCTCCTAGCCAGCGGTACCTCGACCATCTCCGATCCCCGTCCTCCTCTTCCCTGCGACCCGTGCTAGAAAGCTGCCCACCCACCGTTAAGACCAGCACCACCTGCTGCTGTCCACCACCCGTTGTCCTCCGACCCATCACCACTCCCACACTACCTACCTAATTACTTCTTTGGTGTACTGCCCGTTCCGTTCTTCACTTTGCTGGCTGCCTTATATTCCCACAGCTGTATCATATTCACAACTGCTTTGCCATACATCTTCTTAATCATCCTCAACCAACACGGTCAACCATCCGCTGGATACAGCCTCGAAACCACCCACACTTACACACACCCCTGCTTCATCCAACCGCACCCTCGCCCCAGCATCTCAACCTGACTCCGAATCCAGAAACAGGACCCTGGCCACCGTCAAACATATCATTGCCTAATTCTTCACCAACCAACCGACACTTCACGCCTCTCCTCCACTTCGCCAGTTCATCCACCTTGAGATATATGAAGCCTCCCTCCCTCCCTTGACGGATCAACCCACCTTCACAAGGCATTCACTGTCATCCCTCCGAACCTCCACCATCAACTCATCACATCCCCTCCACCACAATGCCTCAGTCAAATCGAAAATACAGCTCCAAGAGCTCCACGAGTAGTCGGGGCTCAAGGAGGAGTAGTGATTCGGTCGACTCCTTCGAGACATATGAATCACAAAGCACAACGCCCACGTCTTACTACGACTACGCGAGCACCGAGGCATCAGTCAGGGAAGCAAAGCAGGTCTCGAGCAAGTTTCAACCCGTCCAGGAGGAGGACATTTCTCCTTCAACAAGCAGCTACCCGAGGTCGACCGTCGATACTTTCGACTCGAGTATAGCTTCCGAGGACGAGGATGAGCTAGAGCTCCAACGCGAGATCGACATGGACAGCTTCGAGGAGCACCAAGAGATCCCGCCTTTGCCCGTCTACTGCCGCGATGTCGTCGATGACGTCCGCCCCTCCACCCCCCAGGACTTTGCAAAGCTCTTCCCTTCCATGAACAGGTTATCAATCCGCCATGACGAGTTCACCCCGGATGGCAACATGAACCTGCGAGTCGACACCGTCGCCCCGGGCCGCCGTCCTTTCACCATGCAGCTCTTCCACCTGCGCATGTACGACCTTAGCAAGCGCGAGTTTTCCCTGAGACGGTACTGTCGCGAGTCTGGTCGCGAGGTCTGCAACTCCAAGCGCAAGTACGTCGAGCCCGCCACCGAGGAGCGCCCCACGCTTCAGCGATCGCTCTCCAGCGCCTTCAAGACCCTCTCGACCCGGAAACCCCTCTCGCGCACCAACTCGGGCGGCTCAATGCTCAAGGGCAAGGAGCAGCAACGCCCCGCCTCCAGCTCCTCCTCCCGCGGTGGCGACGAGGACCCCTCCGCCTACTTCCAGCGCTCCGCCTCCTTCGACATGAAGCAAAAGTCCCGCCCCGAGCCGACAAACACCATGAAGCTCGAGTTCTCAAACTACGCCCGCGTCGACGTCTCTCGCTGCGGCGGCAAGAACAACAAGCGCTACGAGTTCCAGTGGTGGGGTCACAAGTACCAGTGGAAGCGCGTCCTCGACAAGAACCTCGGCGTCGTCTCCTTCCACCTCGTTAAGGACGGCAATACGGCCGCCGACGCCGCAGTCGCCCACATCGTCCCCGAGACCCGCGCCCCGAACCAAGTCTACGACGACGAGAGCGCCGGCGGCTGGGTGCCTCCGTGCCACATGTGGATCAGCGACCGCAGCGTCATCGAGGCCGTCACCGACGTCGCCGATGTCATTGTTGCTACCGGCCTCATGGCTCTTGTCGACGACTGCATCAAGGACCGTTGGCAAGTCAAGAAGACGCACCGCAACCCGTTGACGTCCAAGTCCGTGAGCGAGGGCCCCAGGTCCTTTGTGCAGCACATTTTCCAGCGTCGTACTTCGGACCATCAGTCGAGTCCCCTGCGACACCGCCCCATCTCAACCTACTGAGATGAACCTTCAGCACCAACACACTTTTTATGCCCTTTTGCTGTCTCTTTTCTCTACGGGAGGCACGGCCAAAATTGCATCATCAATCGGTACCAAAATCTACACTGCGACGACATTGACGACTTACGACCATTTCCACTTCTCCGAACATCGTCCGTCGCAGAGAAACATTTCATATCTCATATTTCCAGCCACGAGCATCTAGCCATTATGAGCGACACCTCAAATCATCACTTTTACCAAAAACCTACAGCAATTTTATTGGCAATGGAACAAAACAGAAGACGGAAACCCGGGACACAGCTACAATGAAAGCAGCTACAGACCAGCGCGCAACAGCGCAGCACATACAGACAGACCAAAGGATATGGGAGGAAACTAGGATACCATTTTCAGGGCACCGCGCATCGCATCGCCGCGTCGCGATGGTAGGACGGCGTACTTCATGGGGATATCTCACATTTATCTGTACATACATTTGTGTCAACCACCATTGTCGTTTTTTCTCTCAATGATTCAGCTTTCTCTTTTCATTCATCAGGCGAGGAGTCGGGGAGTATTTGGAGCGCAATCCCCATCATGAAGGAGGGGGGACGGAAATTGTACGAATGAGGCAGACTAATGATGATCCACGTCTGTATTTTTGACTGAGATACAATACAAACAAAACCAAGCGCGCAAACGCCTTTTGCTCATGCAAACATCTTTTCATAATCACCATACTGTCTCTACCTATGCTTCGCTTTGATAGTGAATAATGGAAATCCGCGGATGCAAACAATCGGCCCTCATGTCCACGAAGGCGGTGACGAAACAGGAAAAAAGCTGGTGGAGTGAGTGAGGTAGACGAGACTAAAAGTCGGCCGGTCTGGAACACGAGAGCGGTCGTCAGTGTCGTACCACCCCAGGCCCCCCACCCAGCCCGATGAACACCATGCACCCCGCCCAACGCCATCATGAGATGCTGTGCTCGCTTGCCGATGATGTAGGTCATGTCTCTGGCAAAAAGTCTGCACAGGCTTCTGGAATGACAGCACCCACGCGCCTAACCTTTTAGGGGCCCGAAAATCGCCAAGCCGAGGAACACCCAACGGAAACCAACCCCCGCGTGCCAGAGCAGAGAGCCCTGGCGTGACCCATGACGTCCTCCGGTCCGTCCCGCCGGTGTCGTCGCGTTACCAACACGTTGTCTTCCGCCCACTCTTTATGTCTTTTGCAACGTGGGATTTCACTTCCCGCCTTCCCTGCCCCCTTGCATGGTGTTTTGCAGGTCGGAATTTCTGGGCAGGGCGACGTTTCCCAGAGTAATGATTCGCACCAAAGCTTGTGCGTTGTGGAAACTCGCGTGTTGCAGTGATATCGCCATCATGTCATTTCTGATGACATGTAAGACTCCCCGCAGATAGGGTCGGCTATCTATTCAGTGGCAATGCCAACCGTTATGTGCTGTTCCACGCGGGATGCCAATGAAGTAAAACGAAGTATTCGAGACTAGGCTGGTGCAAAGACTGCATAGGCCTCAGTACTCGCCAAAGACGAAGAACTCATCCTTCTTGTCCCCAAACCAGCCGCCGAGGTCAAGCTTCATGAGGAGTCTCTCCACGCCACCGACCCGTCGAGGAATGTACTCGCCCTCTTCCCTGAGGACACCCTCCTCGCCGCCTTCCTCCTCGTCCGCAAACGCGGCGGGGTCCGCCTCGAGGGACCTCAAAGCGGCTATGACCTCACGGATGCCGTCCTTGACGTGTTTTTCCACGTCCCGTATCGCGGCGCGCACGTCCTTCTCTTCAATCTCGAGGTCGACGAACGCATCTACGACTCCGGCGTCGGCTTCCAGGTCCATCGAGGTCCAGACGGCGTGGAGACGCGTCGTTAGCGCGACGAGGTGATCAGTATGCGTCAACAAGCTGTACAGAGGGTCCGTGTAAGAGGGAAATGTGAGCAGGAGACGAGTCGAGAGTGCGCGTAGATACGCTCGGTGTGCTGTTGCGAGGGACTGGGGGTCATGAGTTGGAGTCGGCTCAGGTGCTTTGGGGCCAAGATTGAGGTTGGACGTGCTCTGCGCAAGCCAAATATCATCATCCTCATCCTCTGAAGCCGCTGCCGAGGGTGCTTTCGATGGTAACGTGGAGTTGGGCTTGGTTTCGGGCTTCTTTTCGCCCGAGGTAAGCCACTCTTGAAAGCCTTCCCATAGACCTGCGACGATTTCTGTCTGCAAATACGCTTCCGTCTCGGAAAGGAAGAAGAGGGCCGAGCTGCAAGTGACCCAGGCGCTGCGCAGCGCATTCGATCGTGTAGTGTAGCGTTGGCGGAGAAGCACCACTTTTGATCGACCTGCTCGCGTGCTTCCGGCTGGGGGGCCAGGGGGTGCCGGGTGATGCCGGCGTAAGGATGTAATCTTCCACAGCTCGGTAAGGCGGATGTGTGCCCTGCGGATGGAGAGGAGATAGGAGTTGATTGTGGAGTAGATCTGGAGATCGGATGAGGTGAGGAACATGTCCAGCGGTGAAGGTATCTGCATCGTCAGGATGACGGGAACAGACAGCAGAAGATTGCGGAAAGGGGTCGTGGCCAACGTTTTCGTTGTTGGTTGCGATGTGCTGGCTTCAAGCTTGAGGGGCACCGGAGGCTTGGACTTGGTCAGATTCAAGCGCAGTAATTGTCTCCCAATCTCGAGACCCTCATCTTCGTCCGCATGCTGCCCCTGCATCAAGCCCATCTCTCCCCACGTCTTGGCCAGCACGGCTGCGACCTCGCCTTCCTTGACCGCAAACTGACCGACACCCTCGCGCTTTTCATAGGCGAGATTATCTGCCCTCTTCCAGCGGCTTCGTAGCTTCTCGTCAGCCTGGTGTGTCAAGGCCATGGCGAATTCACCTCGTCCCAAGAGAAAGAACTCGCGCAAAACTTGGAGTGCTTCCACGACTTTCGTGAGCGGCAGCAACTTCAGTAGTACTGTGCGTGAGAGCGTGAGGCGAATGGCGGTAATTGCCCGCGAGAAGCTCGCCGTATTCAGCGGATATGTCAACGCGGACAGCTCCTTCAGTTGCGACGAGAGGTGGTCTAGTCCCTGGAGACCCGACTCGACGCTGCTTTTCACACGAACGTGGTTTAATGACCGCCCAATAAAGACCATCGAAGACGCAGTCTTTGGCGTGACAAAGTTCGGCAACAAGCTCGGCACTGAGACATAGTCCTGATCGTCGTTAGTTACCGCATTCCACACCAGGCCCGGCTCAACCTACGTGATCGCCGCTCTCCGCCTTATGCACGAAGAAATCCTCTCCGCCAAAGGTAGGCAGCCGGCCGTAGAGGATCCAGGCAGAAACCTGCTTCAACCACGCCGTCTCCGCCACGGAGACCAGACTCATGGCCGTCCTCTCGATATCCACGTAACCACTCTGCAGCTCGCTCCGCAACCGATCAATAAGCTGCGCGCCGCGGCATGTCTGCCCTTGCTGCTTCCGCAACATGAACTGCACAATCTCCCAGAGCCATTCCATCCGCCGCGTCCACTCCGAAAACTCGCCCACGACTGCCGTCAAAGGTACAATATTGTACGCGCCCACCAGGCTCGAGTCTTTCCTCAGGATGGTCTCCTCGACCTCGAGCACTTTGCGCTGGAAGGCAGCTAGGTGGACAGACTGCACGGCTGTCGCGACGGCGCGGCATATCGTTGACGGATGCTCGGCGGCAATGGGCGCTGTGTAGCTCTGCAGTTTGACGTGCAAGTCACTCAGGTGTGCGACGGTGGCTAGGAGCTCGCGTTCCGGTGGTGAGATGGCGGGCGATGGTAGCGCATCGGGGTCTGAAGCTTCGGTTCGGAGCAGAGGGGAGGGGTGCCCGGAGAGGGCGAGGAGGATTTCGTGGAGCATGGCTTCTTTGCGCCGAGGCCCAGGCCAATGCTGCTGCTGTTGCTATGATTGTCGTGTCTACAGAAAACCGAGGTGTTAGCCATGGGTTCTCCGGTTCCAATCGTGGCGGCGTTGGTGGAGGTGGACATGGGTTCGAGGGGAGGTCTTGGGAGGGGCCCAAAGAGACGGCATCAGCACATTTCGCGGGTGGGTTGCTTCTTGGACTTTGACTTTTCGCCAAAGTCGCGTAGAAGCAGGATGAAAGCGCCTAACAGCTCGAAGCGACACATTTACACGTCGGGGTCGGTGCGGGCGCGAAGGATGGCGGGAGAGAGCAATTCGAACGAAGGCGGCTCCTTTGGGCGGGAGGATGGGAGGCGGGGCAGTTGGGCAAGCAAGACGTCGCAGCCGGAAAAAAGGTAAGGTGATGTGATGGTTGGCAGATTACCTTGTTATGTTGTTTTCTGCATTAAGCAAAGTCCCCTTTCGTCGCACGAACCAGTCAACTCTCTTTCCGTGTCCCCTTTCGCAAAAAAGAAAGGAGCGTCCGAGCCACAAAAACGGAAATCGCACTGGCTGTCAAGGAGGCTCCATGCTCGAAGGCCTGATCCCTTCCCATATCACGGTAGCGGCATTGATGGAATCGACATCAGGGGAAAGCGCGACGGGGCTTGACTTAACGCGACTAACTGACAGCGGGCTAAAGTGACACTGACCACGACCTGCCCGCTCTGAGACCTGCGGGGCCCTCTTTAGGTACGTGCACGTGATGTTCCTTACGTCGAGCTGAGGTAAGCCCCGCGATCTGGAAGCGGCCCGGTCGACGGATTCCGGTGCCCGGCCTTGAAGTGGAACCCCTGATCCGTCCGGTGCCGTCTGACAGCTCTTAAACCAGGCCTATCCCAACCCCGACGATCTGCTAGAATTGCTCTTAATTACTGAATTGGCTAAACTTCCTATTTTCATGTCGTTCTCGCATTCGACAAGCTGAGATACGGAGTTGCCCAATCCTTGTGCGGGTCTTCAATACAAGTGTGAGTATGGCGGCCCAGGTGTGGCCATCCAAAAGCACCTTCTTCATTCGCTCTACAATCATCGTTGCCCAGAATTGTCTCACTCCTCTCATCGCACCTTTTCGGCGGCCTT